CAGCCCTTTGTATTCTATTTTGAGACAAGGTCTCACTAAGTTACCCAGGATGGTCTCAAACTTGAGGTCCTCCCCTGCCTAAAATGTTCCAGTGACTTCCCACTGAGCTGACAGGGTGGGCAAATTACAGCCCATGGGTCAAAGCCAGCTGGTTCTGTTTCTGAGCAGCCCTGGACAGAGCTCAGGTGGCTACTATGATGGTGAGACTGGAGACCCTGCTGGGGTGGCGGCCTCTGCCTCTGTCCACCCCAGGCCACCCTCCAAAGCATGTTCATCACCACCTCCAAGTTGGAGCCTCCCTTCAGCCACTGCTGGGCGCTGATGGGTGTGACCTCCCTTGGGAGGCAGCAGCTCCCATGCTGCCTGGCCTCTGGACGGCCACTGCAGAGGACAGCCAGGCCCTGCCCAAACACTTTGCTGGGATTTGGTTGTTACTGGAGCAGAGAAGGAAGCTGCATTGAGGGCCAACTCGAAGCTCCCAAACTGCCTGCATTTCAAGTGACCCTTGGACATGTCACTCTGGCCAGAGTATGACTCCAGAGTCAGCACCCAGTGCACCCAGCCCTCTGGGCGCCTCTCCCCCCGGTGGCAAGTCTGAACCCCCCTCCCTGGTTTTCGTCATAGCCTCAACTTTCCCCCCTCCCCCCCCCCCCCCCCCCCCGCCTTAAAATAGTAACTCTCTGGCTCTTATTAGGCAAACCTTGCTTTCTTTGTCCTTAATAGATCCTTGTGGTCTCTACCTGGGGCTTTCTTGGTCCTCTGGCTCATGCCTTTTGGGTCACTCTGCCCAGGCATCTCCAAGAGGGAAACAATCTTCTCTTCCCTGGATGTCTTGAGACAAGTTCCTCCTCCTCATCTGGCCTTGACACAAGAGACCCCACTTCAGAGGAGCTGTCCCTGATCACCTGTGTTGGCCAAGGGTCTCCAGAGAAAGATACAACAGGAGAGAGTAAGATAGACAGAGAGACAAAGACAGACAGAGAAACAGGGAGAGAGACAGAGACACAGAGATAGAGAAAGAGAGACAGGGAGGAAAAGAGAGAGGGACAGTGACAGAAAGAGAGAAAGAGGTAGAGGTAAGAGAAAGAGCAGAAACAGAGACAGACAGAGACAGGAGAGAGCTGGACAGGGAGAGGCCCATGTATTTAAGGAAAGAGCTCCCAGGATGGTGGGTGTGGGCAGGCCTGAAATCTGCAGGGGCAGCCAGCAGGTGGAGGCCTCTGGGAAGAGCCCGAGGTGCGAGGTGCGGCCTTGCATCCAGGAGCTGGGAACGGAGGCGGAGCTCTGCCTCCTATGTCATGGCCTTGAGGCAGAAGCCCTTCTCAGGACACCTCAATGTAGGCTCCTCAGGTGACCGGTCATCTCCGACCCTGCCACCCAACATCATCCAGGGCCAATTCCTGACCTGCAAGTCCACTGAGATGCGAATCCCACCACAAAGACCTCCCCAGCCTCAGTTTTGGTCCTGGTCACTGTGACCAAATGCTCCACCCAGCTGGGACAACCAGCCGGGACAACCTTTCTGGTTGCCCTCCTCCATTTCTGTCTGGCTGAGTCCCTTCTGTCCTCCTTCCCCCCTTTCAGAAGGTCAGGTTCACAAGATCCCTCCTGTGCTGGTCACAGAACTGTGCACAGCAACCCCCAACACCCCCGAGGGTTAAAGAAATGAATACAATGGCCCCAACTGAAGCCAGGGTTTTGAGGTGAAGCCAGATCCCCCTTCTGCTGGCAGATGGGTTTGAGCAAACTGCGTCTCGCAGGTTTCCTTCTGGGGCCTTCTTGTCCAGCCAATGTGAAGAATAAAACCCACAGACAATAATGAAAGGGGAGGTTGAATGGAGCAGGAGTCATGACCTGAGAAGAGGGAATTCCCGAGATGCCGAGGGAACTGATGGTGTTACAGCCCCGGGGCCTTCCGGGAAACTGAGGCAGCCAAGACCCCCCCACTCAAGCCCCGATGCTTTCCATCAACTCAGAAAGATTTCAGACATGTCACCCAGAGTAACAGGCATGAGTTTATTGAAGGTTTGGGAAAAGGGAAAGGGGACATTCTCAAGGGACAGAGAGGAGATGGACAACAAGCCTCGTCTACACTCCAGATTTATTGGGAATTCACAGAAGTGTCCAGAGATTTCCCCCACATCTGCCTCTTGAGTTTTGATTGACAGCAGGATGACATCAGACTTCCAAATCCCCATGCTGACCCTTTCTAATAGGATTCTTTTTTTAAAAAAAAAAAATTAATAGCTGTAGATGTTCAGTGTGACTTAATTTTATTTATTTATTTTTATGTGGTGCTAAGGATCGAACCCAGTGCCTCACACATGCTAGGCAAGCATTCAAACAGCCCCTCTAATAGGATTCTTTTTTTTTTTTTAAAGAGAGAATGAGAGAGAGGGAGAATTTTAATATTTATTTTTTAGTATTTGGCAGACACAACATCTTTGTTTGTATGTGGTGCTGAGGATCGAACCCAAGCCGCACGCATGCCATGCGAGCGCGCTACCGCTTGAGCCACATCCCCAGCCCCTCTAATAGGATTCTTAACGCAACATTCTTAGAGATATTATGGGGAGAACTATTCTTATATCCTGAAGTGCCAGGATCTGGTCTGTGGAAAGAGTCACAGCCGTCTTCCCCTTCGGGGTAACTTGGGTTCCTCTTGTCAACCTTATTTCCGACCTGCATTTCTCCTGCAGATAATAGGTACTTTCCTGGGGAATGTGACATATCCTGTCCACTAAAGCCAGGCAGGGCTGCAGGTCAACTGCTTCTTGGGAAACAAAGGCATCCAGGGCTGAGCACAGTGGGCTCGCTTTGTGGAATTAGTCCCTGAACCTCGAGTTCCCACCACTCACGTCTGTCAGCCCCTGGCACAAGCAGGGGGGCCGCGAAAGTGAGAAAGAAAAGGACCCAGAGAAGGACAAGGAGGTGGGGGGTGTGACAGGGTGAGCCAGGGACCCAGGGAGAAATGAGGCACCAGGGACCCCCTTCACAGAGCCTCTGGCATTTGGGGGCACTAGGAAGTGCCTAGGGCCTGTGAGGTAGTATCCCCCATGTTCCTGGATTGGGAGGTGGGGCCTTCCTGGACTTGGAATTCTTAGGGGGAGGGGAGTACCCTCTATTATGGTTTGAGAATGGCATTCATTAGCCCAATGTCTCTCTCTACAGCATTGTGGGCAAATACCCGGTATTCTACTCCTTTGATACCTAGTTATATTAAACCCTCCTCCTATGGGGCAATTCCTTTTAAAATGTCCTGTTTGTTCACAATTGTAGCATGTTTTTGGCCTGGCATCTAAAACCTGTTGTACTGCAGCTGCCAAGACTTGCCCTTGTTCATTAATGTCTCTACATAATTTAATATGTGTTTAAATCTTCATGTTTCCATGGTCTAATGACCTCTCTGCACCAACGATTTGCTTGCTCATAAGCCAGTTGTTTTATTAATGGCATTGCTTGTTCTGTATTCCCAAAAACTCTGGTAGCTGTTTGAATAAGCCTATCTACAAATTCAGCATAAGGTTCATTAGCTCCTTGTGTAACCTTAGATAATTGACCTTGTAAACCTCCATGTCCTTGTAAAGTCTTCCATGCCCTAACCACATCTGCAGCAATTTGTGAGTATATGGCAGGATCATATGCAATTTGTTGCTGCTGATCCTCATAAGGTCCCTCTCCTAACAACATATCTAGATTTCTCTGAGGATAACCGGCTGCTGCATTTCGCCTAGCCGTCTCCGTGCAAAATTCCTCATTGGCAACCTTCCATAACAGGTATTGTCCTCCATTTAGCACAGCTTTACACCTACTAGTCCAATCTGCTGGCGTCATGTTCAAGTTGGTAATGGATTCCACCATGCTTACAGTGAAGGGTGCTTGAGGACCTTAGGTTGTTACAGTCTCTTTTAGCTGCTTCACTGTTTTGAAATCTAAAGCATGGTGAATTCGCTGCCTTTCCTGCCTGCTCAAATACAGGGCATGCTAATATTTGAGGTCCTGTCTCAGGATCCCATCTATCAACTACGGGGGTTGGGGGCCTCCCAGCATATGGAGGTGGCACTGTTGGTTGGACACTTTACACCCTCTGGTGATAGAAAGGTGTTAGTAGCAGTCTCCTGTTGTAACGTTTCCCCTGATGGCTTTTTCTGCTCTAAACTTTCTTCCTCTGTCTCACTAGCTCAGGAGACCTTCTCTTTTACTTGAATCTTTTCCTCTGTCTGACTAACTCGAGAGACCTTCTCTTTTACTTGAATCAATATGTCTTCTCCTTCCTCTACCATTGTCTGAACTGAAGGCTTTGGACTAAGCAACCAAGATACCAATGCCCACAATGGCAATGTGCCAACTGGCAGAGTCCCTGGGCTTTTCTTTTCTATTCTTTTTAAATCTTCACCATGATGGTTCCATTGTGATATATTTAACAACTCCTCCTTAAAAAGCCATGGGCTACATTTTTGTATTGTATCAACGTATGCCCTGACTGAATGTTCTTGATTTTACTGAGATGCCTTCTTCCTCTAACAATTTACTTAACAGTCTTTCGGTTTGATTTTTACTAATTTCTGATCCCATATTTCTACTGTAATGCAACCCAACAAGCTGACGCCAAATAAAACCGAGACAGAATGAAACAAAAATGGAACAACACAAAATCATTATATCAGCCTTTCTATCCTCCTGAAATGTCCATCCGTCCTTTCTCCCTATCTGTTCCTCAGATGTGAGCGGTTTTTCTTCCGTCTCACTCATCTCCAGGGACAGGCAACTTAAAACAAAAGCGAAACAAAAGGAAAGAAGAATCTTAAAATGGCTCCCCATCCTCTCGCCCTGCCCTCAGGGGCGAGCAGTCTACCTTCTCACTTACCCTCAGTCCTTCCCGCGCGGGCCACCAAATGCGTCAGTCTGGCTGGGCACAATTCACAAGCCACTTGTGAAGCACAAGCGAACTTTATTTTTAGAACACACACCTCACCACTGGAGCTCTACAGGAATTCTCTCAGAGCCCAACTGCCACCACAGGCTTCCCAGGAGCCGCTCAACCTCCCACTCCTCCTGCTCTTGAGGCTGATTGGCTGGGTTATGTGGGCGGAGCAAAAAAGTCACCCAATGAGCAACTCCGTGGTCTGAAAGGGCGGGGAAACAGCCCAATGAGCATCCCTGCAGAGGAGCCAATCAGCTGGCAGCTGGAAGCTTGCTGGGGCCACCATGAGCCAATCAGCTGGAAGTTTGCTGGGGCCGCTGTGAGCCAATCAGCTGGAAGTTTGCTGGGGCTCCTTCGGCTGTGGCTCTCAACAGCTGTACACCCTTCCTCCCAGAGCAAAGGGACTTCCCCAGATGACCTCAACCCTGGCTGGATGCCAGGATCCCACCCATGCCCAGGCCCTTCCCAGAATTCAGATTTCAAGGGACTAGATGTGCACTTTGAAGAGGCACTTGCCATATAAACACCCCCACCCCCACCCCTACCCTGCCCCACTGTGGCTGCTGCTCCCAACAGCACTGGTGAGGCTGTGACCTCAGCAGGCCCAAGCTCCCTCCCCCTTGCTGACTCATGTCTTCCCCTCTCCAGTCAGAAATACCTCCAAGGCCACCCACCTGCCAGCAGCCCCTGACCGCCCCCTCTGGGCACAACCGCCTGCGCATCTACCCTTGGAGCAGTCACTAATCAGTTCTGGCCCTTTACTAAGTGGGGACCAAGAGGGTGGGGTGAGCCTGGAGCAGGGCCAATGGCAGGCCTGTGAGACCTGCAGATGAAGGGCAGACACAAAGGAGACAGGTGAGCAAGAGGGCAAGGTGCAGGTGGGGATGAGGGGACAGGCAGAGCAGCCTGTGGTGCTGGGAAGAACAGGTGAAGCTCAGAGGAAAGGGCTCCTAAAAGGTAAATGTGACTGAGAATGTGGGTGGGGACTTTGGAAAGAGCCCAGAGAAGAGATCCAGAGAGGGCTGAGGGTGAGGACCCAGAGGGCCTTGCAGAACACAGACACCTGCAAAGGTGATGCAGGTGAAGATGTTCAGGACGGGCCAGGTGAGGACAAGCAAAATGCAGGTAGATATGGCTGAGGGTGCAGAGGACAGCACAGGTGGGGGTTCAGCAGGGAGCACTGGTCAGATTCCGTGAGGACACAGGTAAGCAAGCAGGTGAGAACTGGGTGCAGAGGCGGGGGCTGCTGGCGGGAAGGGGGTGAGCATTCAGGTGAGGACGCAGCTGGAGGGCAGGTGAGTTAGGGCTTACTTCAGATGAGGTGCAGGGCAGGCTGCGGGGTGGCAGGAGACCCCTGGAGGGAAGGAGGTGGGGAACAGGGGAGACGGCAGGTGCCCCTTTCCTCTCACAAAAGACTCCAGATTTGGGGAGACGTGGAGTACAAACGAAGCTTTATTGGAGGGTTGCGGGGTGGTCAGTTGGGGCAGCCAAAGACCACCATGCTCTCGGCGAAGGCGCCCAGGTCCTGGCACTGTTTCTGGTTCTCCTCGTCCTGGCATTCTTCTGCCTCTGGCCAAATCTCCACCCAGGTGTCCTTGCCAATGATGTAACGGATGCTGGGGGAGGGGCGGCAGGTCAGGCGGGGCGGGGACAGGGCCGGGGCGGGGCGGGGCGGGGCGGGCTCGCGCAGGCGCAGGACACCCACTTGGGTTTTTCTCCCCAGAGGTCAGAGGAGAGACCCCACACGAGGTAGTGCTTGCCGTCCTGCAGCTTCAGCGCCTCTCTGCACTTGACATGGCTGATGAACCTGCGCTCCTGCCCAGCCTGCACCTCATCGGAGCCTGGAGGGGAGCGAGCGCCAAGCTGAGCCCTGGGAAGGGGAGGGAGGAAGGAGGGGTGCAGGCAGAGAGATGGGGCGCTGTGTCTGACCTGACTTGATGGTCTGCTCCACGACCATGACGTACTCGTCGAAGTCCTCCGACAGCTCCGACCTGACCAGCCGGGTCTTGTACACTGTGGAGGAGGCGGGAAAGCCTGGGTCATGGGCAGGTTGCCCGTGGGGTGGGGGACACCCTCACCTGCACGGGCCCCTGGGCGTGTGGGTCCCTCCCCACCCCACGCGGAGCCCGAGGGGTCTCAGCCAGGCAAGCTGCAGTGCACCCTCCTAGGAACACACAACCACACGTGGTCACTTGGTCACCATCCCACAGTCATGCTCAGAGGCATGTAAGCAATTCCAGCCGCCCACAAGTAGAGTCACACCCAGAAGTTCGTCTGCGCTGATGCATGGCCGTCCACAGCACTGTCCTGTCCAACCATGGCTATGTGCGACTCCCTCTCACAACCCCCCCCACACAAGCATGCACGCAGCTGTAGCCGCCCAAGACCCCAGCCACGCACAGAACTCCAGCTTCTCCAGTTTACTGTCGTCCAAAACCAAAGCCTCATACAACACAAACCTCAAGTCACCCACAACTAGTCACATACACAATGACCAGTGACTCCCTTCCAAGTCATCCATGGCCGCTGTTGCAGGCAGCCACACAGAGTGCAGCCACCCGAAACTACAGGTACATGTGCCCCTAAAGCTGCTCCCATCCACAGCCCTCTCCAGCCACAGCCTCACACACCACCTGATGCAGGGCAGCCCCGCAGACACGCCCCCACAGCAGTATCCACTCAGGCACAGCTTCCTCCCAACTCCACCATGGTAACCATGGTTCCCCACAAGGCTATGCCCTTCGCAACACATTCTCACACACTAGTCACCACAGCCTACAGGCCCAGGGCCTGACATGCACACCGCCATCCTCGTGCACCCTCACGTGCACCCTCATGTGTGTACACACACACACACACACACACACACCCCACCCCCACTCACCATAGTCCACCCCAGGCTCACAGGCCTTGTCCAGCCGGTCATTCAGCGTGACCTCCTCCTCCTGCTGCATGAAGCAGTTCTCTGCAGGGTGGGGGTGGAGACTCTGTGTGAGCCCCACTCCTCACCCAGGGCTCACTGCCCATGGGTGTGGCTGGCCCCAGGGCCTATCCTTTTGGTGACCCCAGGGCATGGCTCCCAGGGTCCCCCTTTAGGGTGGGTGTCTCAGGGTGGCTCAGGGCGCCCACCCTCAGCACAGCGGCACAGGTCCTTGTGGCACAGCTTGCTCAGCATTCCGTCCTCCTTGTCTGGGTGGTAGAACTGGGTGCACGTCTCCTCTGTGGGCAGAGTGATGGGGAGGGGCTCAGAGGCCTGGCCCTACACCCCAGAGACCAAGCCTGGCAGACTCAGATTCCCAGTGCCCAAGTGCCCAGGGCCTGCACATGCCAGGTCCCCAACCCTCTATTCCTGAGACTCTTCTGATCCTTGGGACCCTTGGGCCCTGGGAACTTCAAATCTCCAACCCAAATATCCTTGGGATCCTCATTTTTCCAACCCTCAGATCCCTAAGTCTCAGATTCTTGGGACTCTCAGAATCTTGACTCCTGGGTTGTTGGGACCCTCCTCTCCCCGACAGCTCATGCATCTATGGGACCCTCAGAGCTACATCTTTCTGTTGGAGGACTTTGAGCCCCTTAGAACCCCAACTCACAGGTCCCTAGGACCCTAAGACCCCTGGAGCCCTCAGTCTCCAGACCCTAGGTCCCTGGAACCTGAGAGCCCAAGCCCAGCTTGGCTGCTCACCCAGGTTGTAATAGGAGTAGACCTTGACAGAGCCCGGCTGGATGAGCCCCACATTGAAGTACTGGTGAATTTTGAAGGACAGACATTCTTCCTCGCTGTGTGAGATCTGGGGGGAAGGAGGTGAGGATGGTCAGTGTGAGGGGAAGGAGTTATGTGATGGGTCACTGATCCCCCGGGGATCGGGGCCTCCGATTCCCACCCAGCATCATGGGAACTTGTGCAATTTTAGGAAACACTTCCCCAAGAGCTAGAAAGGAACTGTGTGATGGTCAAGGTCATGAAGATCTCAGATTCTGCATGGGTTCATGCAGGGTGCCCTGGAGGGGGTGCAGGCAGAGCCGAGGTGGAGTAATGGAGGCATCATAAGGAGTATGGGCAGTGGGGAGGAGGAGGAGGCTGGGCCGAGCAGCAGGCCCATTCTCTTTTCTCTCACTGCCCACTTGCAGTTTGGTCTGGACAGGAGTCAGAGCTCTGCTGATTGGTTGGTGACATGCCTGCTATGATTGGCAAGTGGCTTTCCCCCTCCCAAACTCATGTTCCCAGGTGTAAGGGCATTGAGGTGCGAGGGCCTTTCAGGGAGATAATTAGGTCACAGGGCAGGACCTTTGGAAGGGATCATCTTGCAGGAGTGGGCCAGGTCTCCTGGGCTTGGATTGGTCACCACGACAGTGGGGTGTGGTCCAGGGAGTGTGGTTTTCTGGACTTGCTCTCTAGGCTCATTCCCACCATGTAACCCTTCTCCTGTACGTGCTCCCAGTATGACAGCTGAGGGCCCTTGTCAGATGCTCTCTCTCCTGCCTTCCAACGCAATGGGCCCTGTCTCCCCCAGCCTGGGGCCAGCCTGACCTGAGTACAAAGGTCAAGGCAAAAGAAAAGGGCAGCCAGATAAGGGTCCAGGTGCCTGTGGAACCTCCCAGGGGAGCTAGCAGGCTGACCTTGTCCAGGTAGATGAGGAGGGTGTTCTTGTTGGAGAAGGCTTTGCTCAGCTCGTACTTGGAGATGTATCTGTCCACTCCGGTGCTCAGCTGGGGAAGGGCGGGGCTTATGAAGAATCCCTCCTGGACCCCTGCTCTCCCTGCAGCCTCTTCCCCATCCCCATCCCCGAGCCCTTCATACCAGCTCGAGGTCATTTGTGTCAGGACCGAAGCCCGTCATCATGGCTATATCCAGGATGGACATCGTGGCATCCTCTTTTCCCAGGTACCTGGACAGGGCAGAGGGAAGGTTGTTGGAGCCCAGGGCTCTGCTCCCGGATGAGAGGGATCTGTCTGACCAGGGACCGAGGCCTCCGATTCCCACCCAGCATCATGGGAACTTGTTCAATTTTAGGAAACACTTCCCCAAGAGCAAAAATGAACTGTGATGGTCAAGGTCATGAAGATCTCAGGTTCTGCATGGGTTCAGATCTCAGTGCTGTGTAAATTTGATCAGTTATTTGACCCTTCTGTGCCTCAGTTCTTCTAGAAAATGACAGGAATATGGGCAGCCCTTACTTTGCATGACTCAGCTACTTCAGTGAACTAGCATCCCATGACATGGTTCAGACCACAGCACTCGGGATAGTAGTCATCCTTGCCTACAGTACAGACCTTGTTGCTAGCTCATCAACCCACAGAGTGCTCTGTAAAGCAACATGAGCTCCGAAATCAATGACCAATCACATGACTCCTCTGAAAGCCTGCCCGCGAAGATCACGGAGCATGCATTTATTCAAGTAACACACAGACAGCAAAGCATGAAGCTGTGGCGCCTCTGTCCTCCTGATGGACCCACATGACGCTTTACCCAGGTGGGTCCTGAAAAGAGGGAACTGGACAACAAAATGACCTTGCAGCAGAGAAATGAAGAGATGATGCTGGAAGTGAGCATCACCTAGCTGCAGAAGGTGGCAGGTGCTGAGGACGATGCCCCTGCCGCCAGGTGAGGAGGGGTAGTGACAAAAAGGAGGACAATGTCCCAGAGGAGGACAGGCTTGGAGGATCCGCTCCAGGGGAAAGGGACTCCTGAGAAACCGCATGACTTGGGAGGCTCTAAGGATAAAATGGAGCGGATCTGAACTCAGACAGGAGCCCGGCAAGGCAGGATGGGAAAGGAGAGCTTCCTGCAGAAGCCAGCCCAGAGAACAGTGTTCACAGGGGAGAGCTGCGCAGGTGTGTGGGAAACGCACGAGCCAGCTTCCCCGGAGGTTGAGGCACGAGGACCACAAGGCTGAGGCCAGCCTTGGCCACTTAGCCACACTCTGTCTCAAAATAAACATTTTTATAAAAAGGGCTGGGGATGTAGCTCAGTAGTACAGCATCCCGGGTCCAATCGTGAGTACCCCAAAGCAAGCAAAAAATCATAAGGGAAAACACCTTTATTTTCAATGTTCTAATGTTTTAAGTTACAGAACCATAAAAACAAACAAAAACCCTGCCTTACTATATTTTTCATTTCTTACACCATTTTGTGGGAGTGCTGGGGATGAAATCTATGGCCTCCTGTGCGCGGGGCAAGGGCTCTGCTGACAAGCTCCACCCAACCCTCCCTGTCTTTTTTTTTTTTTTTTTTTGTCTTTGTGGTGCTGGGGATTGAACCCAGGAGGGAGGGCCTTGTGCATGCCAGGCAAGCACTCTACCCACTGAGCTCTTTCCCAGCCCCCTCCCTATCTCATTTTACCAGAGAGTACAACAGTTTTTAGGGTTCTGATAGAAAATTTAAAAGTCATGGAACAATTGTGACATCCCCATTGCTGCAGTTGACCGTCTGCCTCTACCACATGGCAGATACGTAAGATGGTACCAGATGCACGGGACACTCAGAACTCCTGGGTCCCATGGATAATGTTGGCTGGGGCTGTAGCCCAGTGGTGGAGCTGTGGCCTCCCATGTGTGAGGCCCTGGGGTCACCCCAGCCTACCAAAAATTGCAATAAAAAATAAGTAGAAGGAAATCTTGCTAAAGACAGAAGGTCGACCAAGAGGAAGCCCAAGGACCCAGCTTGTTACCTGGTACAGATGGCAAGGACCATGCTGCTCTTGGCATCCTGGGGCTTTTTGGCTAGAAACACAGAAGGGGGTGAGATGGGGAGGGCGTTCCTGGGTCCTGATGCAGGAGCCAGGAAGAAGAGGGAGCTGCCCAGCCACGCCCTCCGCCCTCTCTCTTTGAACAGAAACTGGCAAAGGGAATGCAAAGGGCCTTCATTCCCTGTACCTGTTTCAGGGGCTGGCTTTATGGTGACCCTGAGGTCAAAATTCTTGCATTTGACCTTGCCTTTGACTTTGGCATGGTACACTGTCACCACCTGTGAGATGGGAGGAGACAAAGTCTCAAGGGACTTGAGATGGCTGAGGAAGGCAGGAGAGGGTCACTGTGGGGCAGAGGTCAAGGGCATGTGGAGGGCTCTGGGCAGGTGGAGGGCCATGGGGCGGTGGAAGGCCACTGGGAGGTAGACGGCCCTGGATAGGTGGAGGGCCTGGGTTGGTGGCTCAGCAGCTGTGGGGCCTCAGTCCTCACCGACAGTGTGCCTTGGCCTTTGCCCTTAGCTGTTAAACTGAAACCCTCGTTTTGCTTGGTCTGCAGGGGAGAGAGAAGAGAGGGTGTTAGGAAGCAAGCCTTCCCTGGCTCTGAGGACTTCCATAGCCATGTGCCTCCCTCCTGCTTCCCAGAAACCGTGGGGGGCGGAGGCCCAGAGCAGAGAGGGCTTGGCATTACCTCCTCTGATCGCAGGAGGCTACCGGATTCCCAGAGGAGGCGATGCTTGATCTGGGAGCTGCGGCTGGGCAGGTGGAGGGCCACCTCCATGTTCAAGTCCTTGTGGTCAGGTACATCTGTCTGATATTGCGCCAAGGCTTGGAACACCATGAAGGTGGCCTGGAACCCATGACAGAAGGAAGGTGAGCTGAGAGCCCCCACTGGGGGAGAAAGAGGCTTGGGTCAGAGTTAGGGCATTAAAGCTAGGCCCAGAGAGCACCAGAGAGCAGGGGTGAGACTGCGGAGTGGTGGGCACCGAACACACGGCTCACGGCCCTCTCACTGACACAGGCTCAGACCTACAGCCCACCAGCGTGTGACATTAAGATTGGAAGCCAGACATGGAGGTATCCGCCTGTTATCCCAGTGACCTGGGAGACTGAGGCAGGAGGATCTGAAGTCAAGGCCGGCCTCAGCAACTAGTGAGACCCTGTGGCTGCATAAAATGTAAGAAAGGGCTGGGGTTATGGCTCAGTGGTTAGGCACCCTGAGTTGAATCCCCAGTACCAAAAAATATAAAGACTGGAGCTCATTAGATGTTGAGGACATGTTCCATTTTCAGGAACTCCCCTGGATGCAGAGGCTTAGACCAGGACTTGAAGACCCTGCGGACGTGTCTAAGAGCCAACAGAAAGCCCAGGTGTGCTATGACTGGATGTGAAGGGTTCATGGTTCGTCCCCATGCAGCCTGTTGAGTCGTGGGGCGTGTGAGGAGCACCTGAGGGCTCTGAGATCATCAGCACATGGACCCTTGGAGGGACTCACAGCTGGGCGGGCTGTTGACAGCTGGTGGAAACTGCAGGGGTGCCCCTAGTTGGAGGCAGTGGGTCCTTGGGGAGTGATCTGGTCCCTTCCTCTGTCTGCCTTGTAGCCACAGTGAGGTGAGCAGCTCTACTCTGCCCCATGCTCGCCACCATGGTGTGGGCCTCACCAGGGCCCAGAGTGACAGCCCCAAGCAACTATGGATTGAAACCAAGAGCCAAATAAATCCTTCTCCTCTAAGTTGATCTTCTCAGGCATTTTGTCACAGCAATGAAAAGCTAATACACCACATAAGATGCAAGGTCTAGAATCCCTGAGAATGGGGCCTAGACCTATCCAGAGGAGACATTCTTAGACCAGGACTTAGGGACCAGAAATGTGTCTAGAACGCAGTCATGGAAGAAAGGACCTCCTCGGAGCCTGAGGATGCTGAATCCGAGTGTGACACTGTGAAGCGACATTGGGATTTTAATGGAGAGCCCCCCAGAAAGAAAGAGGCTCAAGCTGGAGCCTGGGCGGCTGGATCCTGCAGTCACTGAACCGTGGTGTAGAAGGCCCTGGACGTGGTGTAGGAGGGAGAGGGCCTGGACGGTGCCCTGGAGTCAGGGAGAGCCCGCTTCAGAACGGGAGCCTGGTGGAAGTGGCAACGTGGACCAGGAGCCACCAAGGGAAGGGGGGCTCACTCCTGAGCTGGAGCCCCGAGGACATGGAATGGACAGCAGAGAGAGCAGAGGCTCCGCTCAAAGCCTGGAGCTTCTGGAATGAAGTCTGGACCCCCAGGAGGGTGTGTACCCAAGAGAACCTGGGTTCTCTGCTCCTCTCCAGCCCCTTGCTGGTGGGACAGAGGTGCCTCCCGCCTGGGTCTCAGAGACCTGTCTGGGAGCGGTGGCAGGCTACAGGAGGTAGGGTGCAGGAGCTCAGGGGTGGGGCGCTTGCCTGGGTGGAGCCATAGCCGCCTCCATAGTATCTCTGCTCATTGAGCCAGCGCACCACGGGGGGCACGTTGTCGAAGTCCCTCAGCAGGAGCAGGGCCAACAGGGCATAGGACGTGGCCTCCACGTTGTAGAGATGCTTGTCTGGCTCCTCCCAGCGGTTCTTATCTGCAAAGAGGACACCCTGAGCCCCCAGGCTCACTGTCCTTGCAGCCTGGGGATGGCCCAGGGAAAGCTCAGAAAGAGACTCCTGCCTGCGAGGCACTGAGGTCTAATATGCAGGCCAACATTCAAGCCCTGCTCTGCTCTGTGGGCTCTGACTCCGCCCTTCAACCCAGTGCTCCCTACCCCTCCCTGAGTGAGCCAGGCAAGGGCCTTCTTCTGTGATTTGCAATGACAATGGAATTAGAGCCACACATCACAGCTCAAGGTATTCTCCCTTCAACCCAGTGTTGCATCCCTCCCCCTCCTTATGGCTGCCCCTCACCTGTGGATGTGTTTAGGAATTTTTCAAAGAGGGGGCCCTTCAGCCTGCCCATCTGGGCCAGGGCATAGCCAGCAATGGCCACGGTGTAGGGCCTCTGCAGGTTCAGGTATCTGGATTCCAGGAAGTCTCCTGCCTTGGAGATGCTGTCTCCCAGGAGCTGTGGGACAGAGGGGCGGGCACTCTGGTAGGTGGTCGCCACCACAGCCATGGTCAGCATCCTGCATGCGCCACTCCTGGGGCCTCAGGATACTGTGTGTCCTGGGACCTTTGTCTTGGATCTGTGCTTTCAGTGTTTCCCAGACCTCCTGGCCACCTGTGAGCGCCTTGTGACTGAACAGCTGCCATGTACCTGAGCGTCCCATGTCAGTGGTGTGCTGGGAGGTTATCAAGGAGCCCTCTCCTGCAAAGGCTGGGGGAGCCCTGGTTTGTACTGATTGGTGGTGTAAATCCGCCCCCCAGGGTCAATGTCAAGCTGCCAATGTGACGTCACTGAATCAAGTGTTGGGAAAAGATGCTCTGAACAGGCAGGAGACATGAGGAGGAGTCCGACTCAGCAGGCAGCCTGGACAAGCCCGCCCCCCCGCAGTCCTCCCCCCTTCCTCCTTCTCCTTGCCATCGCCCTCACTTCCTGCGTGCCTGCTGTGTATCCACTTGCTGACCATTGAAACCCTGAGAGATGACAACAGGGATGCCCGAGGGTCGTGGCGATCTGGCCAAGACCTCCACGGAGTAAGTATGGGGTGATTTACTAGGTAGCAGGTGCAGGGCTCTGGCGACCCCTCCCAAGGCAGCACCTCCCCTCCCAGGTGGACATTCCCCAGCTGGGGCAGTGGTGCTGAGGAGGGTACTTACCTTGACCTGCTCCTCGCAAATGTCCTTAGCCTCCTGCAGGGCGATGAGAACAAAGGCTGTGAGGGCCACATCCCCTTCCACGCTGTTCTGGTAGCCACCCTGGGACGGGAGCAGAGCAGAGACAAGGTCACCATGTGTCCACACAGGGCAAGCCTGCTCTGGACAGGGTTGGGGCTCCTCCTAGGGCTCCCTTCCCTCAGGGACAGCCAGACTCTCTCATATGAATCACTGCAATCATTTGTTCATTCTGCAATGTCACCAGACGACCCCTCGCCTGGCTCTGTGCCTACACAGGGGTAGATGGAAACCTGGCCCAGCTCCAGCCTCCTGAGCCTCTTGTCTAACAGGGACAGGAGGCAGGAGCCAGAGGCTCCTCCGTAGGTACAGAGGTTCCTCAGCTTCCGAGGGACTCACATGCCAACAAACCATGGCAAAAGGAAAATATCGTGTAAAATTCATTCGGTGCCCTGACTTTCCACACATCCTAGCTTAGCCTGAACTGTGCTCGGGACACTCACATTAACGCCCCTCCCACGAGGCTATTATACCAAGTGCTGAATTTCTCCTTCTTGTATTCAACCTGTGCTGAAAGGGAAGAATGGAACGTGGTGTGGGATATGGTTTCCCACCATCGTGAAGTGCAAGATCCTAAGTGGCACCATGGTAAGTCGGGGAGCACCTGTATTAATTTCTGACTTATGAAGGCTCTGCAGAATAGGACACAGCAGTGAATGAACTATGGGGCAGTGACCCTGTGAGGTCAGGACAGCTATCGTGGAGAGAGCACAGCTGGCACCCTGATCTTTAGAGGTGTCAACTCTCAGTGTGCAGGGGTTAGCATGCTGGGCACCAGTGAGAGCTTGTGCAAAGCCCCTGTGGCAGGACTGAACAGTCTTCCACCAGTGTGGGTAGGTGTAGAAGGAGAGGGCAGGCTGTGAGGCTGGGAGCCTGGAGGTCAGACTAGGGCATTGATTCTCTATCTTGGGCATACCTCAGCATCACCTGGGGAGATGGGATAATTAGAAGTCATATTCCGGGGCCCTATCCCTAGAATTTCTGGTTCAACAGGTGTGGGATACTATCCCAGAATGTTCATTTCCAACAACTTTGTGGGTGATGCTCTTGTGGGTCTGAATATCACACTTTGAGAACCACTCCCCTGTGGAATTTAAGAGTCAGGGGAAGGGCTGGGGCTGGGGCTGGGGCTCAGCGGTAGAGTGCTCACCTAGCACGTGCCAGGCACTGGACTGATCCTAAGCATCACATAAAAACAAATAAATAAAATAAAGATATTGTGTCCAACTACAACTAAAAAAAAAAAAAAAAAAAAAAACACAGGGGGAGCCTCAGGACTTTCTACGGAAGAATTCAATCAGATTTGAAAAGCATCGGTGGTGAACACCTGAGAGCTAACAAGAGTGAAGCCCGCAGGGCAATGACCAGGAGCAGCATTTCCAAGGTCTCAGGGTGAAGGAGGGAGATATGTGGACCAGCTCCTCGGCTGGGGATGGGAGGAAGGCGCCAGTTTTGAGCATAATCCAGGTAGCGGAATGGGAAGCAGTGGAGATGGATTAGAGAGGACGTCAGAGTAGATGCCCAGGCTCTCCAGTAGGCCCTCTGCCTTTGCTTTAATTAAGTTCTTATTTATTTCTCAACAAGATGTCGTGCACTTTCATTTTGCACTTCTGGGTTTTACAGCGATGGAGTGACAATTATTTCCCTGTCCCTCACTTCGACCAACGCAAAGTGAATTGGGCGCCAATGGAATGAGGGAGCCTTTCTCCCGTGCCTCCCGTGCCTCCCAGGCGCCTCTCTCCCCCACTCTTGCCGTGAATCCCAATCGCTTACTGTCATTTGTTGTGCTATCACGGGCCCATCCTCCTGGAAGAGTCCATCCGGCTTCTGCTTCTCCAAGATCAGCCATTTAACAGCTCCACAGAGGACCTGGGAGTCGATGGCAATGAGGTTGACAGCCAGAGAGAAGACCTTCACCACGTAAGCTGTCAGCCTGGGGGCGGAAACAGAGTGAACCAATCCGCTCTGGGCTTGCAGCCTGCCATCCCAGTTACCCAATGAGAAGAGAGGGGCGGGGCCTGGCTCGGTTGCTGGGTTACCCCCAGGACTCCAGAGTTTCAGGAAGTCAGTGTTTAATGAAGCTCTACCTGAGCAGGTCACTTGGTTGACTAAAGGCTGCTGCGTCCGTGGAAGCGCCCTGGAAGCGCCGCACAGGGCTGTTTGTGTCCTGCTGGCCTAGACCACCCCTGGCTGAAACCCAGGCCCTACTCTGCCAGGTGCCGGGCGGAGGCTGGCCAAGCTGACCACCCTGACTCACCAGGTGCTGGGCGCCCGGTTTGTGAAGGCGGCATAGGCGGAGCTGGGCTGTCTGTAGGCCAACTGCTGGGTGTACCCTGAGGGAAGAGAGTGGTCACCAGAGGAACGGGGTTTCCTGCTTGTGAGTACCCAAAAAAAGTGTGTGCCGAGGATGTCATTCGGGAGGTGGCAAGGGTTCCTTGAGAGCAGGAGGACTCAGGGTGGGGAAGGGGGATGTTGGGGAGGGAGGAGAGGGAAGCTTAAGGAGGATGGGGTTCTGAAGGAGTAAGAGAATAAGAGACGGGTGTGTCCAGGGAGCTGAGGGGGTCTGGTGGAAGTGGGGACTCACTGGAGAAGGACTCAGAAAGGGCAGGGTGCCCTCTGGGCTGGGACAGGCATTCAGGGGAAGGGCGCAGGTGGGACAGGATGCTCGTGCCAAGGGCTCTGAAGGGTTGGGGGATCTGAGAGAGGAGGGGAGGGGCTCTGGGGAGAGCCATTGCAGGGAGGGCGGGGTCTCAGGGGAGGGGCGGGGTCAGGAGGGGAGGGCCCTCCCAGGAGCCTGCGCCTTGGGCCCACCCTTCTTAATGAGCTCCAGGGCATTCTGCCGCTTCTCTAGGCCGAATTTCTCCCACTGTTCCGTCTGGTCCAGGTAGTGCACGGCGATGACCGTGGGCGTCATGCCGATCATGTTCTGTTCCCCGCAGCCAGAGGGGGTCACGATGAGGTGCTTCAGCCGCTCCGCGTCCACGGCGTCCTCTGCCATCTCGGCCACTGGGGTCCCTGCAGCAGGATATTGGGGGGATCTAGTACAGGGGCCCACTGTGCAGCGGCTGTGGGAGGTCCAGGCTGCCCCAGCGTTCCCAGCCTCCCACCAGACAGGGCCAAGGGCTCAGGATAGGGAGGGGTAGGAGGGCGTGACAGGAGTGAGGAGGCTCCGTGGCTGAGGGGCTGGACAGGGCTTCTTCATGGGACTCAGGGGAGCTCCTACTTCACAGGGGGACCCTGGTTCCCAGATCTCTCCTTTCACCCACAGTAAAGTATTCTAGGCATGAATGCTTGTATGGTGCGTCATGCCCTTTGCCAGGCTCAGTTCTAAGAGAAGAGCGCACAGCATCCCCTTTAATAGTCACAAGAACCCTGCAGGCCAATCTGCTCTTTCAGTCCCCATCACAGATGAGGGAGCCAAGGCTCCTGGCCCCCAGCCCTTCAGCTCCCAGGTTGGGAGGCCCCTTCCTGCCCTTCCTCGCCCTGGTCTTCCATCCCAGGCAATTATTGGCAGAATCTCCGCTCTCCTCCAAATGTACTTAGCAGCAAAAGCTCTCTGTGAAGTCAGTAGTGCCAGAGGGCTCCTCTAAAACAGATCCAAGGGGCGCTGCCCCAGCTGATGTGGAGGCAGGTGTGTGGCTAACAGAGCCAGGCGCCCAGACACCTTCCTGGTTCCCAGAGGGTTGGGAATGGCTCACCTTGCAGGAGGATCCTGGTCTCCGAATCAGTGTCTGGGACTTGGTCACTGAGGTCTGCGGCTGGCACCTCCTCTCTCTGCACGCCAGCTGCAGGGGAGAGATGTGATGGCACCAGCCCCTCTCTCCCCTGCCCGGCACCACCGTGCCCAGGCTGTAGCCCCACACCCTCTCCGGCTGATGGCTCACCTTGCCCAAGGTGTTCTGGGTCCAGTGTGCGAATGGCCACGGTTTTGTTGACTCTAATTCCTTCGGGCTATGCGGTGTTGGGAGGGGGAGGAAGTCCAGTGAAGAAAAGGACAGACACACAGATGGTCAGCAAGCCACTGTCATGAGGATGACTCTAGCAGAGGGTCATACCTTACACAGATCTTGTGCAAATTCATCAGATAATTCTACATCAATGACGAAAAAGTGTGAAATCTTCACATGTACTGAGAAACTACTTGGGCTAGCTCACTGGATCCTCACAATCCAATGGGGTGGGTGCTGCTTTCACTATGGTTTGGATATTGAATGTCCCCTAAAGGCCCGTGCAATGCAGGCTGAGTCTCAGGGTGGTGCTATTGGGATGAGATGCAGCCTGCTAGAGGTGGGGTCTGCTGAGAGCTCTTTAGGTCACTGGGTGTGCCCTTGAAGGGGATAATGGGATTGCAGACCCTCCTTGCTCTGTTTGCTTCCTGGCCAGGAGGTGAAGGATTCTGCCTCACTGCACACTCCACAGCAATGAGCCACCCCACCCCCACCGAGGCCTGAAAGCACTGGATCTGCCTGATCATGGACTGGAACCTCCAACATCCTGAGTCAAAATCAACCTCTTCTCTTCAAAAGTTAGTTACCACAGGTATTCCATTATAGTGACAGAAGCTGACTAGCACAGCTATCATCACTCACGTTCTCTGTAATTTAAAACCTTTTAGACTTAAGTAGAGATACTTAAGGTAGTCATGGTTGGGCACAGTGGTGTGTCTATAGGCCCAACTACTCAGGAGGCTGAGGTGGGAGGATTCCTTGAGGCCAGAAGTTTGAGGACACAGAGGGAGTGGAGGAGGGAGGTGCTTTGGCTAAGCACCCCCAGAATTAGGGACAACACAAGAGAGGATTTCTCAAAAATGTTTTTTAAATGTTCATTTGGGCAACTTTTATTCACTAAGGTAATATCACAAGAGAATCATTTTAGAATGTGAAGCCTCAACTAGATCGAAAAGTGTTGTAGGGCTGGGGTGCAGCTCAGTGATGGAGAGCTTGCCTGGCAGGCACCAAGCCCTGGGCTCCATCCTTATACTTCAATGAAAAAGAAAACAAACAAACAAAACAACAACAACAACAAAACAACTACAAAACCCTGCCTAAGCTTAGCTGTGAAGTCCCTCTGTTCAGCAGCAAGGAATAGCATGTTTATCCTACAGCAGCTTCCCATGAAGCCGGATCCTGACCACGCTGGTCCTCATGATTCCTGCTGGGGCTAGATGACTCCTATTTACAAAATGAGGAAACTGGGATGCCAGAGGGGTGAAATGACTGGCTCAAGGTCACATAGCTAGTAGGACAGGGGTGAGGTTTAAATCTGGTCACCTGGCTCCAGAGTCTGGGTGTTTAAGCCATTGCCATCCACGCATCTCTTAAATAAAAGAATATGCACAAAGTAAGCAGCACAGGGCCTGAAACACAGCGAGGGCTCATGAAACAGGGGCTATTTTAGCTAGTACTAAAAGTCCAACCCAGGCCCCCATCTGTGTGTACACAAAAGGCTTCCATGTGGACAATAGTTTCTTTCCCAGGACCCCGTCTCCCCTCACTGGTAATAAAAGCAGATTTTGTCTGGAGATTGAGTTTTCCCCAGGGAGCTGCTGACACATGTCCAAGGAAGGCAAAGCCCCTATTGGTAGGCTGTGAGTGTGCTGCCATGATCCATTTCAGGCCGCCAACATCAGGGCACATGGAACTGGGGAGACTGGTGGGCTTTGCTCTCAGGAGCTGCACAGGCAGGCCCCTGCCAGGCCTGGCGCTTCTGCCCACTCACAGCCATCCAGTGTGGGGCAGAAGGAACGTGGGACCCTCACTATGAGTTTATGTACTTTTAAAAGATGATTTTATTGTAGAGCCTTAAAACAATTGGTAAAAATATAAGTTTGCTTCCATAAAAGCTTGAAAATATGAATGATACTTGAGTCTGGCTTGGGCCGAAATCCATTTCCATGTAAAATTACTTTGTCTACTTGAATGCAGCAGCTTTTCAATGTTTTAATTGTTTTCCCAACTTCTTTAACATTTTGGAAAAATTAACCATTAGAGGGAAAATACAAACATGTACACAGGGCACTCGTTTTTTCCTTCTGCCTAAACCTTTCATGTGCCTCAGCTTGAGCCTGTGGGATCTTATCTGCTTAAGATTTTCATATTTAATTTACTGTCCCTTTGTTTGGTCATTTATTTGGATTCATTTCTTCCTTCCTTCCTTTTTTTTTTTTTTTTTTTGATACTGAGAATTAAACCTAGGCACACTTAACCACTGAGACACATCTCGGGCTCATTTTTCCGCTGAGGCTGGACTTGAACTTGGGTTCCTCCTGCCTCAGCCTCCTGAGTCGCTGAGATCACGGGAGCAGCCACTAAGCCTGGCTTGTGATGATTCTTAGGGTCTCAGAGCCTGAGTCACCCACCGGGGGTCAGCAATATGGAGCACAGGCACCTTCCCTGAAGGACAAGGGACAGCGGATGCGAGAAGGACTCACCACGACCTTCAGGGTCTTCTTGACACCGTCGCTGATGAAGTGGTTGTACACAGCAGCCTTGACCTCCACCTCCTGCAGCCCTATGGTCAAGGGCACGATGACATAGGGCACTGGCACCGAGGACTTGGGCGGGATCATTATAGTCTGGTAGTAGCGCTTCTTGGCGGTGGCCAGGCTGCAGAACGCTGGGTTGTGGATCAGTTCCACCCTCACCTGCCAGGGAAGGAGGTGTCAGCGCAGGTGAGCAACAGGGCGTCCTCACATTTCCAGGCCTCCGCCCCCTCCCCAGGGCGCACCTTGAGACTCTCCTTCTCGCGGTAGTTGAAGAGGACAGCTCGGATCTCCACCTGCTCATTGCGCACCACAGAGTAGGGCAACCGCAGGTCGATAAAGAAGTCTTGCATCACCGTCACCTCGTAGGGGTCTGCCACGCAGATCCCTGTCCGCACAGAGACAGCACCAATGTCAAGGGCACGGGAAGGGCAGGGTGGGCCAACCCAAAGGGAACTGTAGCTTGAACTCAAGTTGCTGCCTCTTCCATAGTCCTGGCTCTCACCCTCAACCAGGGGAGCTGGCCCAAGCTGCACCTGACTCTGCAGAAGCCCACAGACTAAACACTGGCCAAGGCATGGGTTCTAGATGGTGGAGGGGCAGGAAGTGGCCTAATCATTTGATGATTTCCTTTCTCTTTGCAGTTTGACTTTTAGATGCATGTGTAGGAAGACAGCCAGCCTAACTAACTGGCGGGTCTCCAAAATATATCTGCTCCTCCAACCAGGTACCCTAAAGCCTCCTGGGATCACCCAGAGCTGCGGATGTGGCTGGCTGGAGTGGGGCTGTTTTTTACTTTCATTTAATTAACTTTTATTTACACTTATTCCATCTCAACCAGATTTAAACTAAAAAGCTCATAGTTGAGGATAGATGTTGTGAATATAGAAAAGCTTATAAGCTGCACAGTTTATAAGGGGGATTTTTATGAGTGAGTTAAATCTCAATTCACAAAAAAAGCAATGCTAGATTCAGTGCCTGGGAAATGTTTAAGTATGTTTGCAACAACTTGGGCTTGAAAATTTGCCTATTCAACTGTGAACATCATGAAACCCAAATACAGATCGAAATATTCCCAGTGAAAATCTAGTTCTGAGCTGCTCAAGTTAAATGCACAATAGATTGTAACGACTAGTGCAAATAAAAGTAAACTATAGCACTAGTCATTTTTGATATATTATTAAATTATTAAACAAATTAAAAAGATTATTGTAACTATTTGTATAATAGTGGTTTTGCAATTTTTTTCAAATGTTCTAATGATACTATTTTGGATATATTTGGTTAAATAACTATATTATGATAAATTGTAATTACATAATTAATAATAATATTTATATTATTTAACATTGTGTTACATTTTATATTATATAATGTTCATAATAACATGTTTTAACAATATGACTAATTAATTGTAACTATATATTATAAATTTTAACACAATAAAATCATAATATAGTAAGTTTGATGTAGGCATAAATAACACATTTGCACTTAATATTGTGAGTTTAATATACCTGATTTTTGATGTAGTGATCTTTTTCCAACACTGAAATGTTCTGGGAAAAATTTACCCTTAAAATATTCACAAAGTATATTTTAGGGCCGGCGTCCTTCTACTCGCTGCAGACTTTGACAGGGGCTCAGCCCAGCACTGGTCTCTACTTAAAATTCGCATATTTTCTTCATCATGGATTTTTTTTCTGCATTACTTTATTTGTCGCGGTGACGGAGCTTCTTGGCTGGCCCTGGGTGTCATGCTGAGGACGATGGCTCACTCCCTACCTGCGAGCCCTGCTGTGAGCTGTCCACATTTGAGCAGAGCTAAGCTGTCAGCACTGGGGACAGATACAGAGGACAGGCCCCCAGGGTTGCCCTGACCTCCGCTGTCACAGTCCCTTATCCTCCTGCTTGCTCCTTGGCTTCCTAGGCGTCCTGCCCACTCCCATGTTGGTATTGCCCCTCGACACTGGCTGTGGCACAGGCCAGCCCCGGCCAGGCGCCGATGGCTACCGCAGGGCTGGCAGTGGAGTGCAAGGGCGGGGGGGGCGTCCTTAGGCATTTAGGGGCTGCCCAAAACTCCGGTTCACATTGTTTTACGTTGGTCCAAACCCACAGAGCTCTCAGCACCAAGAGACCCCACTGTCAACTCTGGACCCTGTACCAGTGCATCAGCGCAGGCTCATGGGGGAACCAACCGGCCTCCTCCAAGGGGGATCTAGTGGGAGGGGCTGAGAGCGCTGTGGGGCCAGCGGGGGGCGGGGGAGTAGGGAAATTCCTTTTCTTTCTGCTGAGTTTTTCTGTGAACTTAAAATTCCCACTAAAAAATGAAATCTATTTTTTTTAATACCAATTTTGGAGACTAAGTGTCCGGGTCTGGCCTTTGAAGCCATGCAGTAGCCAGGACAGAGGGAAGCGGGGCCGCTCAGCCCACCCGGGGAGTCTGTTGGGACAGGAAGGTGCCCAGGGCCCTGACTCTCCCTCACCTTTCTTGTCCGACAGGCTCACAGCCAGGATCTCCCAAGTGGTGATGGTGTCTTTCAGAAAGATGTTCAGGACCTTCGTGGAGATTCTGGGTTGGGAGAAGTGGGGGCATTAGAAGATGTCCAGCAGGGAGGACGGCGAGGCCTGGGGGGCAGGGCACAGGCTGGAGGGGCAGGGCACGTGGGGGTGACCCAGCTCTTGATTTTCCTAGGTTGGGATGTGGGTTCCACAGTGGCTCTAGAAGAGATGGGAGGTTGCAGGTGTGTGCAGATGGAAGGTCACCCTGGTGCAGTGTGGGGAGCTGTGGCACTGGGCAGGGGGTGGCAGGGGTGGGCAGGGGCACCCTGGCCATACCCGTTTTTCTCTGGTTCTTTTAACTCTTCTATGGACCACAACCAGCTCTCTGGAAACTGGCTTCTGGAAATGATGTCTTCTTCTGGAATTATGTCCTCATCCATGTCACCTGATGGGGTGAGAATTGGCTTAGGGCAGCCCACCTCCCACACTGTTCCCTCTGCACTGTGGGGGCTCTTAGCTGGGAAACGCACCCAGAGGCATGCTGTGGCTCTTCATGGGCCCAGGCACAGTTACCTTTCTGGAGTCCTTACTCCATTAAAAAAAATTAAAAATTATATTTACAAACGTGTTGCTATCAAGATAAATATAACCTTGCCTTCCTCTGATTTTCAAAGAAAGGAAAACATTTGCATGGACCTCCGTAAGGATCAGGGCCCCTGCATCCAAGGATCTGTTAGTTCTGAATGCCACCAGCCCTTTGGAGAGCTCCCCACACCTTGTGGGGACCACTGAAGAAGTGGTGGCCTTGAACAACCAGCTTGACCCTCAGCAAGTAAATACAGCTGGACAGGACTAGGTTCCACCCTGGCTGGGCTTTCCTCAAACGTGATGGACAGATCTTAGTTTGGCTCTGCATCTGCATCACAGAAAGCAGGTGGAATCCCATAGATGCCTGGACCCACCTGCATTCTGGACTACTCCTTCCAAGGGCAAAAAAAAAAAAAAGAAAGAATGAACCTAAACCTAAACCCAAACTAATGATTTGCATGTGTGTAACCTGTGGACAGAGCTGACTACACGTTTTGTCTCATTAAAAACTAAATGAATGCCAGGGGCGGTGGAGCACGCCTGTAATCCCAGAGGATTGGGAGACTGAGTCCAACCTCAGCAAAAGCACTAAGCAACTCAGTGAGACCCTTTCTGTAAATCAAATAAAAAATACGGCTGGGGATGTGGCTAAGTGGTCGAGTGCCCCTGTCTTCAATCCCTCCTCCCCCGAAAGAAAACTGAATGAAGGTCAGATGAATGGATCAAAGTTGCTTGTTAATCCATCAGGTGGCCTGACTTGGTGCCAGGCTTTGGGTCACAGCACAGACCAGTTTCCCTGGGTGAAGGAAACTTCAATCCTTCTGAGCCTTCCCACTGGCACCCGGTGTGGACAGCCCATCATCTGGGACCTTCTCTCCTACCACTAAGGTCCTGGGCACAGTGTGTAACTTCAGACTGACTCCGCAGGACTGGGACCATCTTCCTAGCAGGAACCTCTTCCCTCACCCCAGGTGGCTCCACACTAGATGAGGTGCTGCTTCTCCCTCACACCTGAGAGCCTGAGCCCTCATGGAAGGGCCTCCTTCCTCTCCCCTCACAAGGGACCCCTCTGCCCTAAGGTGAGGAATTGGTCCTTTTCAGACTCCAGAATAGGAGCTTTTGCACCTCATGGGGATGTGTATCTCCCTCCTTGGAGACCTCCCCCCCCCCCCCCCACCGGACCTCCCCCCCCCCCCAGACACGACCTCCCCCTCCCTCAGACAGGACCATCCCCTCCCCCTTCAGAATGGACCTCCCCCTCCCCCAGAAGGCCCTCCCCCTCCCTCAGGCAGGCCTGCTCCTGTCCCAGGGACTCACTCCTGGCCAGGCCCAGGAGGCCCTCGCGGCGGCGGTGCTGCTGCCGCAGCTGGGTGATGTAGCTGCAGCAGTCCAGGAAGGCCTGCACGCAGGAGGCGCCCAGGGAGATGAAGCGGGCCCTGCGCTGGCAGGGGAAGCCCATGGGGTTCTCCCGCATCCCGTCCTCGCAGCACCTGCGCAGCTCCTTGGTCTTGTACTGACCCGCTGTGGGAGCACAGACCTGCTCAGGCAGAGCCCTGGCCAGGTGCCCCCACCCAGGAGAGCCCAGGGCAGACCAGGAAGAAGTGCCCGGGGCCAGCCCTCCCCTCCTCCCTCTTTGGCTCCTGGGAGGTCACCTTGGGGCCCAGATGGCCAGGCCCCGGGTGGGTGGTGGGGAAGGGCAGGCAGAGGGCCCACCTTTGTCCATCCTCTTTTCCATGAGCTGCACGGAGCGACGCCGGCGGGCAGCAGGTTTGGAGCACTCCAATTCTGAGGGGCAGGTGGACCAAGAACAGGTTGGGTAAAGCACCTACTGTGTGCCCTGGGATCACCCCTCACAACAGCCTCAAGTTGGCATGTGGCTGTTTCCATTGGACAGATAAAGAAACTGAGGCTCAGGGAGAAGCCTGCTGGCGGGGCTGGTGGAGGCGGGACTTGAACCAGGTGCCCCATTCCAGAGCCCCTCGCTGCCCCTACCTGTCCTCTGGGCTGTCTGCAGGTCTTTGTTGGTCTTGAAGGCCAGCCCTGCATCCATGAAGACTCTAGCATAGTCCTGCCCACTGCCCGGGGTGCAGCCAATGTCTGCCTTCTCCACCACGTCCCAGATCTGCAGGGGGTGGGTGGCCAGGTAGGGACAGGCAGGACAGCATCGCCTGTTCCAGCTCCCCACAGTCCACGCAGCCCTTCCCACCCACCCCACCCCTCTCCAGCCCACCCACAGCTCCATCCCCACCTATGCCTGGCCCCACTCCTCACCCGACCCCTTCACCTCCAACCCCACTTGCATTTACACCTTCATTCCAAGCCCTGACCAGCTCACTCCTTCCTCACTCTCTAGCCTCACCCCATGCCCCAGGCTTCCACATCAGATGGCCCCAGAGTACACAGGGCCGTGCCCAAACTGGATCTTACTGTGACCATCCTTAAGCTGGACCTTGACCATGACCTTTCCCAAGCTAGACCTTGACCATGACCTTCCCCAAGCTGGACCTTGACCATGACCTTCCCCAAGCTGGACTGCTTTTCCATCTCACCACCCCACCCTGTGTGTCCACTCTGACGTCTGTTCCACCACCCCCGCCCCGTCCTTCACGCTCTCTGATCCCGGTCCTGCTCCACCCCACGCCATCCCTGTGCCTCCGTGGTCTTGGGTCCAGCCTCAGCCACAGCCGCCCACCTTACTCTGAGTCAGCTTGTTCTTCTTGTTGAGCACAAACACGCCCTTGTCCACAGCCACCAGCCCCACTCGGGCCCCACGGTCACCCTCTATCTTGAGGGTCATCTGCTGCCCAGGTAAAGGATGCCGGTCGTCCTTCCCACCACCTTTGACCACCAGCTGCAGGGAGGTGGGAGAAGCAGGAAGGAGCAGTGAGCCCTGGGAGGGCACCGAGGACGGGGAAGTCCAGGCCGGACCCAGAGGAGGAAAGGCGGAGGGTGGGGGAGCCGCGGGGATGCTCACCGTGCCCACGCACGAGTCCTTGACGTCCACCCACACAGAGTCCGCCACCACCTCCCTCTTGCCGCTGGCACCCATCAGCGTGTAATAGGCCACCAGGCGGAAGGAAGGGATGAAATCCGCAGTGATGGTCAGGGGCAGCACCACCAGGTCCTGGCCGGGCTCTCGGGCCTGGCGACCTGCCTTCAACAGCTTGCCCTTGTTCAGGATCTGGGGGACAGAAGGACAGAGGTCAGGGCGGGAGAGGAGGAGATCTGGGCTTGGGGAGGGATGCTGGGTGCTGGAGCAGCCGTGAGCAGGGCGTGGGGGCCCAGGGCCACGGACCAGGTAGGTGTAGTAGCGGATCTTGGCATCCTGGCCAGGGTCCACTCGCAGGTGGAAGTTGACGTTGAGGGTCTCGCCTGGCTTGAGCTCCATGCGAGACACAGAGAGGTGCAGGTAGTTGTTGGAGTTGAACAGCGTGCTGTAGGGTTGGGCCTGCATGGTCTTGACGGCCTGCCGCGCCTGGGGGATGCCCTGCTTGCTGGTGCGCACCTGGGGGAGGGGGAGAGGGATGGAGGCCAGGACCAAGGACACCCTCAGCCTGATCTCAAGGCACAGGGTGTGTGACCCCTGATGGAAGGAAGGCTTTGCAGATGGGGTGAAGCTAGGAATCCTGTGCAGAAGTTGCCCTAGACTATCTGGGTGGACCCGGGGGTGGGTTGGGGTGAGAGGGAGAGAGGGGGAGAGAGAGAGAGAGAGAGGGAGGGGGGGGGGGGGGGGGGGGGAGAGAGAGGGGGGGAGGGAGAGGGAGGGAGGGAGAGAGTTGGAGAAGGAGGAAGAAGGAAAAGGAAGGAGGCCGAGGGAGAGGGGGGAGAGGTGATTTCTTGGACACATGCTGCTGGCTCTGAGGTGGAGGACAGCTCAGGAACAGGGCCTGGGGGTGGGGCTCTAGACGCTGGCAGAGGCAGGACACAGATGCTCCCTGGAGCCTCAGGAGGAACCACCTGCCACACCTGGATTTGGGGACTTTGAGGTCCAGAACTGCAAATGAATAATTCTGTGTTTGGTCACTAGGCTGGGGCCTGACCACCTGCCTTCAACAGCTTGCCCTCGTTCAGGATCTGGGGGACAGAGCCACAGGCCTGACTCATGCCAGCCCCCGAGGCCTAGAAGGCAGAGGGATGGGCACAGGAGCCCTGGAGGATGCACGTCCCTCTGCCGCCTGCGTGGGAGCCAGTGAGGGGCAGGTATCAGGAGAGCAGTGACCCCGTGCCAGCAGTGCACCCCTCCAGGGACACCGCAGAGCACTCCTGGTGGGATTTGGGCTCCTCAGTGCCAGGAGGCCAGGTGTTCCTCTGTGGCCCCCGAGACAGCTGACCTGTCTGCCCCAGGAGGATCCCTCCACGCCTGCGACAGCACCCCACTTGCAAATCTTGCAAATGGCAGGGTCCTTCTGTAGAAGTGCCGAGCCCTGGGGCACCCTCTCCCTGGTGGCGGGAGCCCCAGGATGGGGGGACTCACTGTGATAGTCAGTGGCTGCCGGTTGTTGGGCGTGTTGATGGTCAGCTTGGCCACGCCATCGTCTTGCGTCAGAGACTGCACATCACTGTCCTGGGCCACCACGGGCACACGGCGGGCTGGAGAGCCATCAGGGTTTGTCACGTACACCTGTGGACATGGGGTGGGGGATCTGGTGACTGAGGTGTGCTCAGTGCTGCACGAGTGGGGCCAGGGCCCTGCCCCGGGGCTCACCATGAGGTCGAAGGGCATGGCTGGTTTGAAGTACTTGGGCGTCTTGGTGAAGTGGATCTGGTAGGGGGAGGTCACGATCTGTATCCCACTGTGCTCGGCCTCCACCATGTCGCTGCCTGAGGACAGGGACCATGAGGGTGGCTCCTGGCCGCCCCCGGGACCAGGCCTCCTCCCTTAGACTGGGTCCCACCTCCATACGGGGCCTCCTCCCTCAGACCAGAGCTCCCTCTCAGATGCCCCTGTCTTCTCCCTGGACCTCCCCTCTCTGGCTGGCTCCTCCCCCAGGGGGCTCTCCTCTCAGCCAGACTGCCTGGTGGTCCTGGGCCTCACCTGAGTGCAGGATGACAGTGACAGACACGTACAAGGACTTCCCCACCAGGGCGTCGGCGCGGGAGGGCTGCACACCATCCAGCAGCACCTGGCGGCTCAGGGTGGCCTCCCCGGTGCCGTCCTCGATCTGGGGAGGGGACAAGGCTCAGCGGGGTGGCCCTGGGGAGCTGCCTAAGAGGGGGCGCTGGAGAGAGGGGCGTCCAGGGGCCTCTCAGGTACCACAACGCGCTGGAGGGACTGGGGCAGTGAGATCCTCTGGTCGCCATCCTGGACCCCGAAGATGACGAAGGCGGTGCCGTCCACGTTCTTCCCATACAGGAACCTGCAGGGCCACGGCGTCAGCCGCCCACTCTCGGAAGGCCACGGTGCCCTAACTTCTCACTGTGGCCAAACACCCACAGTCCTTGCCCTTACCTGACCTTCACCTGACCTCACCTGGACCTCACCTGGCCTTCACCTGGCCCCTTCAAGTGGCGTCACCTGGCCCTTACCTGGACCTTTCTTCTGGCCTCACCTGGCCCTTCACCGGGCCTCTCATCTGGCTCCTCATTGGGTCCTTACCTGGCCCTTACCTAGCCTCTTCCCAGGCCCCCTCACCTGGCCTTCACCTAGCTCCTAACCTGGACCTCACCTGGCCTTCACCTGGCTCCCCACCTGGACCTCACCTGGCCTCATCTGGCCCTCACCTGAACTCTTCTCCTGGCCTCACCTGGTTTTCATCTGGCCTCACCTGGACCTTACCTGGCCTCTTACCTGGCTCCTCATCTGCGTCCTCATCTTGTATTCACCTGGTCCCATCCCAGGCCCTATCACCTGGCCCTCACCTGGACACTCACATGGCCTCTCACCTGGCTCCTCATCTGGGTCCCCACCTGGCCATACCCCATCCCCATCCTAGGCCCCCTCACCTGGTCTTCACCTG